TACATAACCATAAAGGCACACAGGCATCGTTTTTCAGGCACACTGTCCTAAAAGGCACACAATAAAAAAAGTCATACAGGTACACTGTCATACAAACACAGACATAATCATACAGAGACATACAAACACAGAAACATACAGACAGTCACACAGACACAGTCACACAGAGACATACATGCATACAGACACATGCAGAGACATACAGACACTTGCAGAAACATACAGGAACATGCATGCATGCATACAGAGACATACATGTATACAGAGGCATGCATAAATACAGAGACAGGCATACATACAGGCATACAGAGACATGCATACATACATACATACATAAATTCAGGCATACAGAGACATGCATACATACATACCGTATATACTCGAGTATAAGTCGAGTTTTTCAGTACATTTTTTGTGCTGAAAAACTCCCACTCGACTTATACTCGAGTTAATGTCTGTATTATGGCAATTTACATTTACATTGCCATAATACAGACCAGGACCACTGGGCTCATTACAAGCCCGGCGGTCCTGTTGGGGGCTGGCAGAGAGCTGTTGCTTACCTTTCCTTACCTTTGATAAGCTTAGTCATGTCGACAAATGCTCGCAGTTTAGGGAATAAGATCCATGAACTTGTGGCAATAATGGCAACTGATAGTGTAGATTTAGTCGCTGTTACTGAGACATGGTACAATGAGAAAAATGACTGGGACATAGCAATACCAAGGTACTCTTTATATAGGAAAGATAGGGAAGGCAAGAAAGGGGGAGGGGTGGCCTTGTATGTGAAGGATAGCATAAAATCTAGCCTAATAAAAGTTATCGAGGCAAACATAGAGTCCGTTTGGGCTACGTTAGAATTTGGTAATCATACAGTAACTCATGTAGGTGTGATTTATAGGCCCCCAGGACAAACTGAAGAGTTAGATAATCTACTAGTTGAGGAAATAGCTAAAATGACAATGAAGGGGGAAGTTATCATCATGGGTGACTTTAATCTTCCTGATGTAAATTGGAAAACAAAAATAGCTACTTGTGCCAGGAGCACACATATTCTAAACTCCCTAAACTGGGATTGTCTCTAAAACAAGTTGTTGAGGAGCCAACTCGTAAAGAGGCCATACTAGATTTAGTGTTAACAAATGGAGATTTGGTATCAGATGTTACTGTAGGTGAAGTTTAGAATCCAGTGATCATCAGTCAGTGTGGTTTAATATAAGAACAGTGACTGAGTCACACCACACAAAAACAAAAGTTTTAGACTTTAGAAAAACAGACTTTTCTAAGATTAGAATATGGGTAGAGGAGTCATTATCAGACTGGAGCAATTTAAATGGAGTCCAAGAAAAATGGGATTATTTAAAAGTTGCACTATTGAAGGCAACAGAAAATTGCATTAGGCTTGTCAGTAAAAGCAAAAATTCAAGAAACCACTGTGGTACTCCGCAGATGTGGCCAAAATAGTTAAAAACTAAAAGTTAGCATTTAGGAATTATAAAAAAAACCAGAGTGAGGGAGACAAAATGATCTATAAGATTAGGCAGAAAGAGGCTAAGCAAGTTATAAGAGCTTCCAAATCACACACAGAAGAGAAAATAGCACAGTCAGTAAAAAAAGGGGGATAAAACATTTTTTAGATACATAAATGAGAAAAGGAAGGTAAAACAAGGATTAGTTAGGTTAAAAACAAAAGAAGGAAGGTATGTAGAAGAGGATAAAGGTCTAGCTGACTGCCTCAATGAATATTTTTGTTCTGTATTTACAGATGAAAATGAAGGGAAGGGACCTCAGTTGAGAAAAAGGATAAATGAGTCATTTTTTACACGTGAGTTTACAGAGGAAGAGGTTCTATTTCAACTGTCAAAAGTAAAGACAAATAAGTCAATGGGACCTGATGGAATACACCCAAAGCTTAGTGGTGTACTAGCAAAACCATTAACAGATTTATTTAACCAATCATTGTTAAAAGAGTAGTCCCAGAAGATTGGAAGTTAGCGACAACATTTACAAGAAAGGTAATGGGGGGTCGAGCAACTATAGGCCAGTAAGCCTTACTTCAGTAGTGGGGAAAGTGATGGAAACCATGTTAAAGGATAGGTTATACATCTAAAATCATATGGATTTCAAGATCAAAGACAACATGGGTTTACTTCTAGGAGATCATGCCAAACTAATCGTATTGATTTTTTGATTGGGTAACTAAAATAATAGATCAGACTGGTGCAGCAGACATTACTTGCCTAGATTTCAGTAAGGCTTTTGACACTGTTGCACATACTGTTGCACATAGAAGGCTTATCAATAAACTGCAATCTTTAAGTTTGGATTCCAATATTGTTGAATGGGTAAGGCAGTGGCTGAGTGACAGGCAACAGAGGGTTGTAGTTAATGGAATATATTAGAAGCTTGGACTTGTCACCAGTGGGGTACCTCAGGGATCTGTACTTGGACCCATTCTCTTTAATATTTTTATTAGTGATATTGCAGAAGGTCTTGATGGTAAGGTATGTCTTTTTGCTGATGATACTAAGATATGTAACAGGGTTGATGTTCCGGGAGGGATAAGCCAAATGACAAATGATTTAGGTAAACTAGAAAAATGGTCAGAATTGTGGCAACTGACATTTAATGTGGATAAGTGCAAGATAATGCATCTTGGACGTAAAACCCCAAAGGGCAGAGTACAGAATATTTGAGAGTTCTAACCTCAACATATGAGGAAAGGGATTTAGGGGTGATTATTTCTGATGACTTAAAGATAGGCAGACAATGTAATAGAGCAGCAGGGAATGCTAGCAGAATGCTTGGTTGTATAGGGAGCAGTAGAAAGAGGGAAGTGCTCATGCCATTGTACAGAACACTGGTGAGACCTCACTTGGAGTATTGTACACAGTACTGGAGACCGTATCTTCAGAAGGATATTGATACCTTAGAGAGGGTTCAGAGAGGGCTACTAAACTGGTTCATGGATTGCGGGATAAAACTTACCAGGAAAGGTTAAAGGATCTTAACATGTATAGCTTGGAGGAAAGACGAGACAGGGGGGATATGATGAAACATTTAAATACATAAAGGGAATCAACACAGTAAAGGAGGAGACTATATTTAAAAGAAGAAAAACTACCACAACAAGAGGACATAGTCTTAAATTAGAGGGGCAAAGGTTTAAAAATAATATCAGGAAGTATTACTTTACTGAGAGGGTAGTGGATGCATGGAATAGCCTTCCAGCTGAAGTGGTAGAGGTTAACACAGTAAAGGAGTTTAAGCATGCATGGGATAGGCATAAGGCTATCCTAACTATAAGATAAGGCTAGGGATAATATAGAAGTTTTTAGAAAATTGGGCAGACTAGATGGGCGAATGAACATATCTGCCCGTCACGACCTATGTTTCTATGTTTTCTATGTTTCTAACTTCAAAAGTAAGAAAAAATGATAGCTAAAAGAGAGCAAAACCAACCCCA